AAAGAGTCACTATCTCTCTAAAAGAGGTAGGATAGATTATTTTGGTTTGTAAACAGATATATTGGGTTTCGGAGGTCAATTAAGATTGGGGAAGACGTTAATTAAACACCCCATAGTTTTCTTGAAACGTTTTAATTTTAAGTCTTTTATTTTATAAAAAAAGGATTATGTAATTTGGACTAGAATTGTACAACTATAACTCCTTGAGAGCTTCATCCTCTATCCAATAATCCTTATTTTACAATCTAATACAGTTTGGATTATAAAATAGAATACTTTTATTTTATTTATAAAAATGTGAGATTACATAAACTAAATTCAAAAAATTCATTTTAAGCCCCAACATCATTTTTTTTTCTATTTTAAAGTTTTAGTATCTTCAATCTCATGTTCTAACATATTGAGTTAACAATGGACTGTTAGTATGTAAGGGTGAAAAGAAGGGTGAAAAGAAGGGTGAAAAGTAATGATTTATTTTCAACAGTAATATCATGCGATATATATTTCATTGATTAGTTGATAAAACTAAATAACTTTTATTTCTTTTTTCATATAATTTAATAATAAAAAATATAAAAAATATATCTTTAATATATACTTTTATGGAGGTAAAAAAGCACATTTATAATTTGTTACCGGCCCAATACCCAAGCATTTGGTCTGAAAATAATTTTCTTATTTTTTCATTAGTAAGAAATATTCCTTCATTTATTACAAGAGGAACAAGGAAAGTAACCAAACAGAAAAACAAGAAAATTATTTTTGAAGGAAAAATTCTTTCTGGTGGTTCCCCTAGCTGGCTGGTTACGAATAGGGTCTGATCCTCCTGGTGTCTCCCTTTGAAGTTTAGCTCCCAACATCCTTTTATACTGTTGGATTTTCGAGGCATCATACTCACGTCTGCGAAAAAAACCATTGCTATCAATCTTTCTTTCCCATGAACTCATTGCAAGCATGAGAACACCAGCCATGATCACCAAGATCAATAGAACACTTTTCTTCAATAAAACAGTCACTCTTTCTGTGGAGAAGAAGCTGAGCTCCCTTGTCTTTATATACCAGGGGAAAGAAACACTTTGTTAGGAAATATCTTATTATCTTATTACCTATTTACCGAAAAATATCAAAAATCATATTACCATATTGGAGTTTGTACTTATTGGCCTTGCCTATTTAAAATTACAAAAAAAATTATTTTAAAATTATATCGTTTCCATAAAATTATATCCATAAATAAAAGTTTTTTCTAGGAACATAAATAAAAGGGATTTTTGGAGAAAAGCAGTGAGAGAGATGAACAAAGCTTGATGATCTCGTTGGTGGATCCCTCCCTTCTTATCCAAATATGTTTTTCTTTTGAGATTTTTGTCTTGCGTATTTTTATTTGATATTCTGTAATATTTTGATGGTATGAAGTAGCTAAAAATGAATGATATTCAGTGATTGTTGCCTATTACTCGGTGAATGGTTTTTGGAAATTTGGATTAGAATTGTGCAACCTGTTGAGTTTTGCTTGAAATTAAGTTTGATCGAATAACCCCTAATTTCCCCTTTTATTTTTATGAGATTTGATCTATTTTTATACATTTTCACATATGGGTCATGTTTCAAGTTAAAGTCAACTCAACCTACTTATAATGGTTTAATCACTAAAAAATAAAAAATAAAATAAAATAAATATAAATTGATTATGGTAATTAATTTAGAATATAGTTGAGGGAATTATTTAATTTTAATTAGAGTAAAGTAATTATCTTTATTAGTTTTAATTAAAGTAATTAAATTTGTCTAATTATTTTAAGTAGAGGTTAATAAATATATTTAATTAATTTTAATTAATATTAAATTAATCATTCAATTAAACTAATTATTATGATTAATTAATTTTAAATTTGTCAACTTTTCTTTAATTAAAGTCAAAAATTAAAAAAGTATATCTTTTATTTAATTCTAATTTTTCATAAAACTTTCTTTGATCAAGCAATGTAGTCCAAAAATTTTAAATTATTCCAAATTCATCCTCTAAGTTTTGAATTTCTTCAACTTAGTCCCTTAACTTTTTAATTGATTTTGATTGTGGCTACTTCTTTTTTATTTTGTTTGAAATTGAGTCTAATGGTTTTCAAGAATTGCAATTTCATCTGTTTACTTTTTAAGTCCATTTAATCAAAGCAAAAAATAATAAAAGTTGAATAAAGTTCTCAATATGGTATGCAATCATGTTTTACAGAGAAAATTGTGAGATGCGTATATGCCCTTCTTTACTTCTCCTGGACCCTAATCTCTGTGTATATCATGTTTTAGGTGATTTTTCCTATTTTATAATTTTGATGAGTGGCAACTCTAATTTTCTTTATCTTTCACACTTAATAATAAATAAATTATTTATTTTTTAAGTGGTCGTCAATAGATTGGTGAGTCTATTAGGAGTTGAACGCATAATCTCTGGTCTTCCATATTTTGGGTTCATGAGGTTCAAGCTAATACTTGGAGATTTTTTAGCTTTTGGTTGTCTTTGATGGTTGAATCATTTGTTTTATTGTTGATCATTTTTTTGAGTTGTGTTTGCTTGTTTCTTTGTTAAGTGCTTTTACCTTTTGTCCTTAGATGTTTTGAATATACCACATTGAGATATGCATCGTGCTTCTCAGAAGCTCATGCATCGTGCTTCTCAGAAGCTCATGCATTATATATTCTCACATGTACATGCATCATTCTTATACATGGTTATACATCATGCATCATGTTTATATGCTTGTCTACTTGCTTGCCTATGGATGGACTTACTTTTTGCATTTAGCTTGGGATTACTTAATTAGTGAGTTCCTTCCCTCTTTCACGTTTATCTATATCTTGTTACATACTAAGTATTGGTTACTTTGTGGCACTTACCTTTTGCATTTGACATAGGAGTATTAGGTGAGTCCTTTCCTTGGATAGCCTTGGGTTCCCTTCCTCCTTAATTTACTCTGAACTGTTGCTGACTTGTGCCCTTTCTTTGGTAATGATTTCCTTGATTTCCGCCTTACACTTTCC